GGACACACTGTGAGTCATACATCCTTCCAGAACGGCCAACTTTGAATGAATAAACCTAATATCAAATGAAAACAAATTTTCCAAATATCATAAACAATGTAGTGAATACCACCAATTATTGACTGAACTAGTTTACCTTCCATAACACGTGAAGTTGCAGCTAGTCAGACGAAGACTTAATATTACTGAGAGTATACCTCTCAGACGCTGCAAAACGCTCAGTCGCCACTCACTTGGTTGCATCAGCAAATACTCTATAGGGCCAAAGAGGAAATGCAGTAAACGCAGTAATAGAGCCGAAAACATGGTGTCATACCTGGAAGGGCACCACACGGTGAAAGTGCCAATAGGACGCTCTTTGGTTTGAAAATAATTTCATACACATCGATATTATTGCAATATCTTGAAAATTGAAAATCATTAAAAGGAAAGAGTATATTCCTAAGTAATTATAAGATCTTTTTGTGGGGACTGTGCGACCGTGCATCCTAAGCACGAACCGCCACTGGATAATACAAGCGACGTGTCGGTGTCACCAAGAGCCGTGACGCAACGGCAGGCCCTTGCCCATCGTGGGTGGAGCTGGTTCGGCCGAATGCCGACAAAGCAACGGGCTGCGAGTCAATGAGGGGTATCGCGTGAATGGTGTCGAAAGCGGTGGGATGTTCTCGCCTTGTACGCTTTCAGGCTCGCAGGCTATGTGGTTCAAGGGAAGGGCGAGCATTGGCATAGCTTAGTGTTTAACGAGACTTAGCTTTTTGAACCTTTTTATCCCCCTAAACTTTTTGCATGCAATTGTTCGTGACAGTTTACTTAAGTGCAAACCAATCTGCGATTTTGAAATTATATTCTCTGTCCAGATCAAGGACTTGATAGGAACATAAGTATTGTCGATGAAATATTCTAATCAAGTAAAATATTAGATCGACTGTTATTTATTATCTTAGCGGCACAATAAAATGTCATTTATATAAATATATTTAAAAATGTTCACGTTTATGAATAATGTAATAGATCCGATTTTCCATTCTAACTTTTGAACGTTTTCATGTGGCTAAACAAAATGAATATGGAAATAATTACATTTAGTTCATCAAGTCCATCAAACAATAGCTTTACTTTTTCACAATTTCAACTAAAAGTACAGACTGCTTATAAGTTTCGAACTATTCTGAAGTATCTTAAACTGTTCTTTGGTATTTGGAGTATTTCCTAACCTTCTCCTTATATTTGTCAACGAATTATTATCAAAGTCAGGTTTTCGAGCAGAAATGTATGTTCCAATGAAAAATTTTCATTTTAATTGCAAATATCTAAAAACCCGTAACAAGCGAAGCATTGCTCGATTTAAAGCTTTATTTAAACGTTGGAATGTTTTTTTTTCCAAAAATTTTTCATTTACCGAGCTAATTTGTAATTAATATGTTTAATACAACTTACCTATGTACTTCTTATTTTAGATTACCTTTTATTTTCCTTTATATCTAATTAAAATAGAAAAGGGAGCCATATGGGATAATACATAAAGAGTATACCAGTTTACTAGGTTTTAATAATCATACATAAAATCTACAATGGAAAAGTATTTATTTGAAAAACAATTATATTGTTTCATATGTATCTTTGAAACCTACTAGCTTACATGGATATTTAATATTACAATATATAAAGAAATAGTATGTAAAAGCGAAATATGTCCATAGAATATTATGAAGGACGACAAAGGACACAGGCTGGAGGAAGGTACATACTAATCTGTCTCGCGGACAGTCCACTAAACTGCACGTTGGTCCTCTGGCTCTCGTTTTCCTCTTTCTCCCACTGACTGGAAAGGATTCTAGTTAGACGGACACATATCCAAAGTTATCTACACACTTTTACGCAGTCACCTCGTGAACAAGGGCAGTAGGGTGAACATTGGACGGCCGAGAGACAGTACAATTTTAAACATCTACGACAGTGAAAGTACATTATATTTTTTTATTGAAGGCATTCGCACCAACAAAAATGCATACACTTACAACATTCTCTCACCTTGAGCTTTGTAATACACTGAAAGAGAGCTGGAAAACATGTCCGGAGAGGAAATAACGTTTAAATACAACCCGCAACTGAACTGCGAAACAAGCCAGCGTATACTTTAGTGATGAATGCGGTCTGTATGCACAAAGACTGTTCAAGCGGAGCCATATGGAATCTTCGCAACACCGACGCACGCCACCAACTACATGAAGCATTTCTCTCCGGACGAGTGTATTGCTAGTGACTCATAACTGAAAATAGAATAACTCTAAAGGAACAATTAAACTTCTCATTCACAACTAAACACAATACATAAAGCAAACCTATTTTCCAGCGTATCAGCTGATTCACTTCAGTCCTATCGTAACCATTAACCCTATGTACACGTCCATTGTCTTTAAACTAATCACTAGAAAAATCAGTCGTCACAAATCTGAACGTAGTATCTTCTGTACTAGCACGAAGCAACTCACAAAACGAGATACTTGGCGTTATTTCATTCACATTGCAAAACGTTGTGCATATACAAACAACTATGCATTTCTATGGATGTCCATTGAACAATAGTTGTAGAATAAATATACTTCTTGCAACAAGCCAAACGTAGCAAGTTTCGAGTAGAAATAAATATGAAAAGCTCATCGAAAAATCTTATATTCGAGAGGCGGCTCCCAAAACTTGCACCAGTTCGAACTCCGAAGACTTACAAATATACAAAGCGCACGTTATTCACAGCATTGGTTTACCAACCTCGTAAACATATACAACACTACAAAAATAAATACAAGCAATATATTCAGTCCGTCGCGTCGGGCCTTCGCCAGGGGCCTCGATGTTCGGCCGTGCGATCAGCAACAGCCGCGCCGCGCCGTGCGATGTTATCGGCGCGACTGGAGACTACATTTTCCACAAGGCGTTGCATCAAACAGTTGCGAGCATCTCGTAATTGAAGCCTTTCATTCCAGAGTGCATTTACAAGTGGTGTTACATAGTACTAGCAACAGTCGCATGCCACTTTCAGCGGTGAATGTAGCCTTCATTAGGAGCTGCTGGGTCGCGTGGCACAGCATCCCGCGTCATGACAAAGGCGTGCGGGTACAAAACAGTGCAACACGAAATAAAAGGGTTTATTATACCGCAGTCATCGTGTAACTCCGTGAGAATTATTTTTCTAGCGCGCACCGCTCTACTCCACTCCGCTCCGCTCCGATTCCATTCCGTATCGCAGTTGACGCGATACGAAGTCACTAATGAAACGACACTCACGTACTTAGATACATTTTTGAGGGAAGACAATGCAACTGGGCAAATGCATAAAACGTTATCGTAATATTCTCTACAGTTCTTAAAAACACAACGTATTGGATGAACTATCCACTACTAGATGTGGGAGAAACGTTAATAAAATAAGGATACGTACTTATTGATATCAACTTTTAACTCCCCAAACTTCATCACAATTTATTGATATGAAACATTAAGGAGAAACATCTTATAAAACGACAACCACAAGTAAACACTGACGGGTCTCTAGATATGACGAAAAGTATGGCACACACGTACACACCGCAAAGTAGCACCAATTTGCTTTAGTGTCTTACGCAAGAAAATCAGTGCGGAAGGAACCGAACGCAGCCGAATATTGTCGGTACCGGGTGGCTCCGGAGCAGAGCGGAGCGTGTACCCACACCTCCGATGGCAGCGCGGGGTGCGGCGAGTCATACGCCCAACGTCCTGTCCGCGACCAGTGCCGGAAGGGCGGGCGTTTCAAATCGTATACAAGCGGCGTCGAGCAGGCCAACGCCTTCAGCCAACCGCACGGCGTTCCTCCGTGGCGGCAGCCAAGCTCCTCCACCGAGCACTAACGTAAGGGAAAACGTGGATTCCGTCGTGGATTATCCTCCAAACTTTGGAATAGAAAAATATTTTATGTAAAATGTGAATGTAAAGAAGACTCAACAAGCTAACCTATCACACAATCCTACCCTGTTGGCCCCCCTCCCGCGAGAAAAAAAACAGGCCAATTATTTTTTGTCTTGTTTGTTGTGGAAAAATTTCTGCCAAAGAATGCTAATATAATAATTCTCAAAAGTGTGATTATTAAATTAGAAAAAAACAAGGTGCCGTTATAAAAATATACAAAGGGTTCGATATGAGGGCCGTGACTAGCACATCCACACTAAACGTCTACGCGCACAAGGAAACACCCTTATCACATATCTGATATGTAGCTAAGGTTACTTCTGCTTGGGACTGGAATTTGGTCGATGTTTCCTTGTGCCTACGATTTGGCTTTGCTCACGACGTTCAAGGAATATATGAAACCACAACTAAACGCGCGGCCGCGGTGGCGGCAGCGGCGGGGCGGGCGGGACGGCGTGGTCGCCGGCCGCGAGGGGCGTGGCTGCTCACACCTGCTGCGGAGGATCCGCACCACGGTTCATGATGATGACCGGCCGCTTGGCCACCGAGTCTGGCAGTTCCTTGGCCACGACCCGCACGGCGCCGGGCGACACGGGCGGCGCGGCGGGCGACGAAGCCGGGGTCGGGGCGGCGCCAGGCGACACGGAGCCGCCTCCGTTGGCGAGCGGCAGGGCGTTGCCGTTGGCGGCGGCGGGCGCCGTGGGCGTGGTGGGCGACGGCGGGGCGGCTGCGGCTGCGGCCGCGGGCGAC